GCTGCCCACCCTTCCTCCTCTGCTTTGAGAACCGTGTGAACGGAGAGTGGGCAGAAGAGAAGGAGGTCCTCATATGGAGTCGCACACAACCGTCGAGCAGTGCGGGAGACTAAGGAATGGGTCGAGCTACCTTCTTTTTATGACTTCACTTCGCTTCGCTTTGTTTGTAGGGGTCGGAAAAATAACAGACGAAGCTTTACTTAGATAGGGCTTTGATTGGTATTTCTTTTTTCTTAGTGATTGGAAAGGCAAAGGCTAAATCTCTGAGCCGGTCTGGAGCAAGCCTCGGGAAACTGGTCGAGATAGATGACAGCACTTTTTTCCCCTCCGGGAGGGCTACGCTAAACCTTCACCTCCCGCCCGGCCCGAAAATAGAATAGAGAGAACCTTCCCCAAAAAACCTCTTTGACTGAACTTCGCCAATACTTCTGACTGAACTGAACAAGCAACGGATTGAGCAACTAGCGCGAAAGCCGTTGCGCTAACGCGCATCCGTTTTCTTGCTGCTTCGAAAAGTTTGTACCTTCTGATCCATTCATTTCTGCAAGTTTAGAGGATCCAGAGCTAAGCCCCCTCCCATTCGAGGCCAGGTGGCCTCGCCCCACAAGCACCCAACCTTCCTTTTGCTCTTCCTTCGGTTTGCCTCTACGAACGCGCCACCTAGGAGCCCTACTCATATTCCAAAGGCGACCAGCTTCTCAATTACATGGACCCTTACGCTGCCATTTTTCCAATATTATTGCATGGACTGGGGCTAAGATAACTCAAATGGGAGAGCCGTGTTATGGGTGACTTTATTGCCCGGTTCAGAGAGCACTTGTGTATGTGATGCAAGTGAACGTGTACGAAAAAGCTGTCGTTTTCGTTGTTCGTTCCGTCGTTGACCCTATCTATGTTTCTATGATGGCCCAAGAACACGCTCATTCTTCAGCCGTAGAGAGACTTTTGAATTGCGAGGTACCATTACGAGCTCAATATATACGAGTGTTATTCCGTGAAATAACTCGAATTTCAAATCATTCACTTGCTTTAACTACTCATGCTATGGATGTGGGAGCATCAACTCCGTTCCTGTGGGCTTTTGAGGAGCGGGAGAAATTGTTGGAATTCTATGAAAGAGTCTCGGGAGCCAGGATGCATGCCAGTTTCATACGACCAGGTGGAGTGGCACAAGATCTGCCTCTTGGCTTATGTCGAGATATTGATTCCTTCACACAACAATTTTCTTCTCGTATCGACGAATTAGAAGAGATGTCAACCGGCAACCGTATCTGGAAACAACGATTAGTGGATATTGGTACTGTCACTGCACAGCAAGCAAAGGATTGGGGATTCAGTGGTGTAATGTTAAGAGGTTCAGGGGTATGCTGGGATTTGCGAAGAGCAGCACCTTACGATGTTCATGACCAATTGGATCCTGACGTACCAGTAGGTACCAGAGGAGATCGCTATGATCGTTACTGTATTCGTATCGAAGAGATGCGACAAAGTCTTCGGATCATTGTGCAATGTCTTAATCAAATGCCTAGTGGCATGATCAAAGCCGATGATCGTAAGCTATGTCCTCCATCACGATGTCGAATGAAACTATCCATGGAATCGTGCGCCGTGTGAAACGCAGATCATCGCCGTTCTTAACCGAGACTCAGGTTAAGCTCCGTCTCGGAACCTTGTGGGGTTAGGAGTAAAGCATCCCGAGGGTGGCGCATCTCGTTGAGCGTGGAGAAGCATTGGGAACCCCAATTTCTTTCTTCGGAGCCCTTTCTTTTCCCGTCCCCCCGCCCCGGCATAGCGCTTCGCTTCCGGTTCTTCGGAAGAATCCACTTACGTCTCCCTTCTTCATTGATCTGGGGGAAAAGGAAAGGTCTACCAGTTGGGAAGCTAGACATCAAGTAAGTGGCTTGATGAGGATAACTAAGCTGACACGCCGGAGTTGGCTGCTGGCACAAGAGGGTGGTGCCTTACCGCACCGCAGGTGGACGCGCGGTAGCGTTCGTGGTGGTGCTTCAGGATTCCAATGTACTGCGTCCAAGATCAGAACGAGCTTGCCGGCGGACCACTGCCGTCCCATTCTTGAGTGAGCTGGAGCGCAGCCATCTTATCCACTGAACTAGCTAGAAGCTATCGCTTCGGGTCGAAGCATTAAAAGAAAAGGACCGGAAAACGCGGCGGCATAGGAACCACGGGACCCCCTATTAGTAAAGGGAAAACGTAAGTGCGCTCCTGCGCACCAGCTTCGCTACCTTTCCCTTTTGAATAAGAAATTCAACCTGGTCAACTTTGCCTTTCCTCTCCCTTACTACTTCTGACTTCACTGCGCTTCGCTTCGTTTTTAGAGACTCACTTTGCTCTCCTTGGATATAATAGAAAAGGCCTAGTAAAGGTTTAAGCTTGCTACTTTGTATAGGTTGGGTTGCTGGATACGGGATCCTCGTAGTAGGCTGGACCAACATCCATCCGAGAGAGGGCAGTCTTTAGAAAGAACAGGTTTTCAGATACTCGACCATACAAACTTTTCGAAGCGAAGTGAAGGAAAGGTGTAATTGACCAGGTGAGCCAAGAGGTGAAGAGTGGGAGTAAATCAGAGAACGCTTCGCCTTTTTTCTATAGAAGGAGTCAACTGAGTTCTGAACGACTCCTTGGTAATGGCTCAATCTATAGATAGAAAGCCCTATGATGGGAAACTACCACGTTAGGTTTGGAGAGAGATGGGACCGGTTATATAATAGAGGGAGCAGATGCAAGCTTTTTAGCCGGCCAAATGACTACAGGATCATCGGTCTACTCTACCTCAATTCACCATTTCGAACCTTATACAGAAGGTTTTTCCGTACCAGCTTCTTCTACCTATACCGCAGTTGAAGCACCTAAAGGAGAATTTGGTGTCTTTCTGGTCAGTAATGGAAGCAATCGTCCCTACCGTCGTAAAATAAGAGCACCTGGCTTTGCCCATTCACAAGGACTCGATTCTATGTCCAAACATCACATGCCAGCAGATGTGGTCACCATCATAGGTACTCAAGATATTGTGTCTGGAGAGGTGGATAGATAGGACTACTAGGTGCTCGATCAGGACCTAGCTTTATTGCGAGCCAAAACCCCATTTATACGCCTCCTTTTTCAGGAAAGCAAAGTGAGATTCAAAAAATGGCCAGTTGGTATATATGGACCGACGGGGAAACCCGGAACCAAAACTCTCAATCTTCCCTAAAGTGTAACAAAAAAGGGGTTTCATTCATCAAAGGTTGGATGGAATTCAGGTTCTGCTATGCAAAAATGAAAATGAAAAGCTAAGATCTCGTCTCGGATACAGGTTCCAGGTACCATTAATACGTGGTCTGGGAGAAAGCTACTAGGGGTAAGCTTTGAACCGCCATTTCTTGCTTTAGAAAAGTCTATTTAAGTTCTGTTTTGTTCTTTGCCTCCCTGGACAATGCGCTATAGAATTTGATAAACAAAGAAATCAGCCTCTTAAGCAGAGGAGATATATCGCTTTTTTAGTAAAAAAAAACGCAAAGTAAAGGGCAATTGGGGAGTTTAGGTAGGGGTCCTCTCAAAGGACCAAGAAAGAAAAAAAGAATGGCATAATCGATGGGATTGTGGCAACGTTCATAGAGCACCAGAAAATCAGTCTTGTCCGGATTCTAGTTATTTATCCTAATCCGACCTAGATCACTTACATTATCGTATAAAAAATCAGACTGATTAGAATTAGAAACCGGAGAGAAGATCTCAGTGTAGTCGAAGCCCTCTTTCTCAATTACACCTTTCCTCTCCTTTCGCGTCGAGACTCACAAGCCCTCCAGGGACTTCACTTCGCTTCGCTTCGCTTCTTCCGGTGTCACTGCTTCGGACCCGTACATAAGCCGGAAAGGGGAGGCTTTGGTGCCCCTATTCTCTTGTGTTCTCGAAGACCAAAGTACTTGTGGTAGTACTTCTACCCACTTTCCTTTTCGAAGCCCCCAAAGACTTGTGGAGATTCCATTAAGGATGATCCCATTGGCCCTTTCGACCGCTCCATTGGATTCCGGGTGATGCACTGAGGCGAAGCATAGTTGTATTCCCATGTCTTCGCAATAGCTTCGAAATTCGGAGCTGTCGAACTGTGTACCGTTGTCAACTGTTATCTCCCTCGGTACTCCGAAGCGGCAAATGATACTTTGCCACAGGAATTTTGTCATTGATGCTGAGGTAATTGTTGCTAAGGGTTGTGCTTCGATCCATTTTGTGAAGTATTCGACTGCCACTACTGCATACCGGAGATTTCCTGGCGCAGTGGGTAGTGGGCCAATGATGTCTATGCCCCATCTGTCAAGCGGCCATGTTGGCATGATTGGTTTCAGCGGATGTGATGGCCGCTTCGAATGTTTTCCAAACCACTGACAATTGGGGCACTTTTGTACGATTAGTTTGGCATCGTGATGTGCTGTGGGCCAGTAGAAGCCTTGCCTGAATGCTTTAGAAACCAGCGACCTTGGCGCTGTATGAGAAGCGCACCACCCTTCATCATGGATTTCCCTTAGTAAGGATTGCCCTTCATCCTTTGAGATGCATTTCAGCCACGGCTCACTGGTTGCGGCTCTGTATAGTTCTCCTTCGAACATTTTGTAATTTCTTGTGCGTGTTTCCATTCTCTTCCCTTCTGCCTCAGTTTCAGGGGTGTACTTCTCTGTGATGAAGGCTATTATCGGAGCTCTCCAGTCTAGGGCTTCTATTGCAAGGACCGAAGTTGGTTTGTCTTGCTCATATACTGCTGGCAACCTGTTTTCTGTGTAGAAAACGTCTGAGGGAAGCGGCTCTTTGCATGCTGCTGCTTTTGCTTTTTGGAGGCCGAGTACTATTGCTTCGTATTCTGCCACGTTACAGGTTGTGGGGAACAACAACCTTGCTGCGTAACGCATCTTAGCTCCCGATGGCGATTGCACTATGGCTGAGGCTCCTGCTCCTGCTGCGCCCCAGGCTCCATCTGTGTTTACTGTCCATACTGTCCATATTTGGTCAGTTGTTATCTGCTCTGGTTCTCCTGAAGCGTTTGTCCACTCGGCGATGAAGTCAGCTAAGGCCTGAGATTTGATGCTGCTTCTAGGTACTATCTGCAAGACATATGGTGACAGCTCGGAAGCCCACTTGCTTATTCTTCCTTCAGCTTCCTTGTTAACTAGGATTTCCCTTATCGGGTATGACGTTGGCAGCTTGATATTGAATGCTAAGAAGTAATGCTTGAGTTTTCTCGAAGCCATGACGACTGCATATATGATTTTTTCTAGTTCTGTGTATGCTTTCTTCGAAGCTGTCAGCGCTTCAGAGACGAAGTATATTGGCTGCTGGAATTTTCTTCCTTGATCCTCCTTTTCTTGGACTAAGGCTGCACTTACTGCCATTGTCGAAGCTGACACATACAAGAGAAGCTCTTTGTCTTTGTCTGGACTGGCCAAAGTTGCTAAGCTGTTGAGTTGTTTTTTGAACTCAGCGAATGCTTCTTCTTGGTTTTGCCCCCATTCGAAGCTTTTTTGCCTTTCTTAGGCTTTTGAATATTGGCATGACTTTCTCTGCTAGCTTCGGTATGAATCTGCTTAGTGATATTATGCGCCCTGTAAGGCGCTGTGCTTCTTTTATGCTCTTAGGAGATTGTATCTGCATAATTGCTTCGATTTTCTCAGGATTCGCTTCGATTCCTCTCTGTGACACAAGGTAGCCTAGCATTTTGCCTGCCTTGACACCAAAGATGCACTTTTCTGGGTTCAACTTGATGAAGGCCCTTCGGAGATTATTGAATGTCTCATTGAGGTCAGCTATATGATGCTCTTTCTTTAGACTTTTGACGACGATGTCGTCAACATAGGCTACTGCATTTCTTCCCAGTTGTTGAAAGAGTATCTTGTATATAACTCTTGCAAATGTTGCCCCGGCATTTCGAAGCCCAAATGGCATCCGGACAAAGCAGTATGTGCCAAAGGGTGTGATGAAGCTTGTTTTCTCCTCGTCTTGCTCTATCATCCAGACCTGATGATATCCTGCGTATGCATCCAAGAAACTAAGCATTTCGCAACCTGCCACTGAGTCTATGAGAATGTCTATTCTTGGCAGTGGGAAATCATCCTTCGGACAATGCTTGTTCAGAGACGTGAAATCTATGCACATTCTCCACTTGCCATTGTGTTTCTTCACCAGCACAATGTTTGCTAGCCACTGAGGGTGTGCTACTTCTCTTATTACTCCTGCGCTTAGTAGCTTTGCCACTTCTGCCTTAGCTGCTTCTTCCCTGTCCTCCGGTATTTTTTCTGAGCTTTTGCTTTATTGGTCTTGCTCCTTTAAACACTTTCAGCTCGTGTTGAATTATATCACGGGGTACCCCTGTTATGTCAAGTGGTGACCACGCGAAAATGTCTTCATTTTCCCATAGGAAGTTAAGCATAGCTTCTGCTTCTTCTCTTTGAAGCGAGTCTGCTATGATGACCTTGTGCTCGGGTCTGTTGTTCCAAAGCTGTACGCTTCGTGTTGAGTCTTCTGGTTTTACGTCGAGCTACTTGATCTGCTGGGTGTACGCTTCGGTGCTTGTTTGACACACTTCGCTGTGTTTTCTTTCCTCAGCATATTCTCCGCTTCGAGAGACGCCTTGATTACCTCTTACTGTAATTGGTCCTTCAGGCCCTGGGATCTTCATTATGAGATATGCCTGATGACATACTGCCAGAAATGCACACAGTGCTCCTCTTCCCAATATGGCATTGTATTTGTACTTCATATCAACAATGTCGAAGCATACATCCTCTGTTCTAAGGTTCCCTTCTTCTTTTCCGAAGGTCACTGGGAGTATGATGCTGCCCACTGGTTTTACCTGAGCTCCTCCAAAGCCAATAAGCGGGGTGCCCGGCGCTTCGAGCGCGCTTCTTGGAAGGCCCATCTGGTTGAAGACTTTGAGGAGTAAGACGTTTGCTGAACTGCCATTATCTATCTGGATCCTGTGTACTTCGTTATTACTGATGTCCGCCTGAATTACTAAGGCGTCTTTATGAGCGGGGTCAAGGACCTTGAAGTCAGCTTCAGTGAATCGGATAGGGCGAGGAATTTCTTCGAACCCTAACTTCGGACGCTTAGATTCTTGGCAGAAGTGGGATGGGGCCTGATTCATCGTTGAATATTTGATTTGGTTGTTTGTGTAGCTGGGACGGCCACGGACGGCGCCAATGTTGGGTTTGTATAATTTCGAAGCAACAACCTCATAGTAAGGGCACTGCAGTATGCCACTTTGACCTGGTATTATATTTACTTAGGTAGGAAGATCTTGAAAAGTCGTCGGAATTCAACTAAAAAAAAGAGAAAGAATGGAGAACTACTTTAATAGATGGGGGTGGGCGTGGATTTCATTCATTGTTCTTATTGCAGGGATTTCCTACACTACTGGCACTTGGTAGCAAGGGATTTCTCCGTTACTAATCTAATAAATAGTAAAGAAAGGAATGTCACCCGCAGCGCGCCTAAGCTGTGTTGGTCAAAAGGCTACCTGCGTTCCATTGGAAAAATTCCACTTAATCTGGTAGGGTCGTAGGCGGACCAAGGTTATCCGGCTCACCGGCCCCATTCCGGTGCACGATTGGAGAGCTCATTGGGCCTTCCGCTTTGTTGATTCACTACGCGTGACAACAGTCAAACCGTCAATTTCACACAAAGCCAAGTCGCCAATATCAAACTTCAATCTTTAATAGTCTTTCTTTTATGTTATTGTCATAATAAATGAGTAAGGCTTTTCCTTTTCACTGTCATTAGTATTTGTAAATGGCAAAGAGGGTAGGATAGAGAGATTGTGCAGATAGGAGTTGATAGAGCACTAGTGTTTTATCTCTAGGAAGCTAATAGTGGTAAAGTTGAGTCCTTTCTTTTCTTCTTTTTTAGAACAAGCTCCTGGCTCAATAAGAGATAGATAATTGAATTAACTGACTGAGCTGGGGAAGATGGATTGGAAGGGGTCAAGTATGCTAAAAGGTCAAGCAGTCTGAGGTATGTGAAGTAGTCCTCTTTCTTCGAGAGGATGACCAGCCGTAGCTTTGACTCTTAGCCTAGGCCCAACTTACTTTCATTAGAGAGCAAGCGATAGCGATCATATTTAGCTAAACCATGGTACTAGTCGAGCTCACACTCCGATTTCAGAGTCAAGTTCTATACCTCCAATATATGCTAACCAAGATCTTTCATAAAAGAAATCCTTCCCGAAGGCAGTAATTTTACAGATAGTTAAGAAATAAAATATCTCCATTGTCTAAGTACCTGGGAATTCTCTAGCTGTGGTGTTCTAATAAAAGGAGTGTTTACTTCCTTTCATCAATGATATAAAAAAAGATGAGTAAATAAAGATGTCAAATAGGTAAAAAGGGCATCTATAGTGCCCGATATATGGATTTCTAAACGCGCCGTAGTTCAGCGCTCTTCCTCTGACTTATCATAAGAATAGGCTTGCTGACAGAAACACTGCTTTAGCTGCAAATAAAATAAAAGCGGGTGCCTCTTGTAAGAAAATAATAGGGATGGCCAAGCCTTCTTTAACACCAATAGTAAGATAAGGGATAGAAAGGAGAAGTTCTATAACTTGAGTAAAGAACTAAGAGTCTAAAAGTCTGCTTACACCCATCCTAAGCCTCAGCCTATAAAACCAATGTCAATAACAGGTGAAGGAAAAGAGGGTTAAGTAAGTAAGTCGGGCAGTAATCTAATATGCGGCTGTTTACTAAGGCGCGTAGCGAAACCCAAAAAAAAAATCAATAGTATCAAGACAAGTAAGTAGACTCTTTTTTCACACTCATACACATATAAAGAAATAGTAGGCCTGCAATACAGACAGGAGAGTCAGTCTTAGGTAGGCCAAAGCGTGGTAGGCGTATCAACACTGTAGGTAAAGAAAAGGAAGCTAGTGTAGGTACAAAAGAAAGTACAAAGACAAGGCAGCTGGATCAGGATCCACGGATGTGTAACGAGACAGATTAGTTATTAAGAAGATTTCGAACCCATTTCGGATCGGAGACCATCCTATTCATGCCATTTCTTTGCCGTGTACAAGCATTCCTTTGCTTTGCCGAGGAGAGGGCTCGCTACCCGATCCTAAGAGTTTGAATGCCCTTTTTTATCCAATGGGATTACGTGTCAATTTTCACTTTTCGAGTAAAGAAGATGGGTTTATTGCCAAGCCTGGGATTGAGCCGGTTTCCTAAGCTAGGTAGCCGTGATTGAGCCGAATCCATCCGAAACAGAGGAGCTGGTGCCTTAGCCGAGGCCGGTAACCCGCTTTTTCGATTAGGATTGTCAAAGGAAAGGTTCGCTACGTAGCTCGTCATACGTCATATCTCGTACGCTAGGAATCGCTCGTATAAATCGTACAACGTATGTTTCGTGGGCCTCGCACGTGCGTGTTGGTTGACAGCGCTAGGGATATCCCCATCCTATCCAACAACGGTAACGAAAGGTACGGCGCTGTTCCTCGGCAAAGGGTTCGCATCTTTATCCATCAATACGAGACGAGCTATTAATACGATAGATATATTCCTTGAGAACGTTCTTTGCCTAGCTCATCTACAGGAAACAGATAGTCTTTCCCATCACTCCAATCTTTACTTACCTACCTTGCATCTCTAACCCGTCCCACTCCTAATGCTGCCTGCCTATTGCTGGAAAATGCTTCCACTCCAATTGCATACATAAAAGCCTTTTCTCTAATTTCTACGGTTTACTTCTGTCAACTATAAGGTCAGTACTTTACGAACAAACAACTACTGATATTCACTCTGCGCCCCATCAGCAAGCAGTAATCTTTTTCACACTTATTCAAAAGGACATGCCCGCATCAGCTGTCGCAGGGCCCCACATTTGGCATAAAGGTTGGGGAGGAGGTGGGTACAGGTTATACCAATGGACGGACAAGCCTACACTTGAAGTGCTATTGCCTAGTAGTTATAATGCGTGTGTGTCAGAACGATCTCGGATCATCCTAAACCTATCTACTACGCCTAGACCGTACTTGCACTATTAGGAATTGCTCCATTCTACCCACACTGTTATTATGTTACACATAGCTTGGCAACTCTGCAACGAATTTCAACATCTATTGTTCATACTCACGGCTGGCCATACATACCTCAGAAATGCATTTTGATGAGTCCAGTCAGATTAGACATTAGAAGAGCTTTTACGCTGCTCTTTATATACTTGCCCAGCTTACCTACAATTCTACATACAAGGCATTGGGGCGGGCCCTTTAGAGCAGTGAGTAACTACCTTTAGTGACTCACAGGAACGAAAAGTAGCCTGTGGCCCTTGGCTGCCATTACTCTTCTTTCCTAACGGACTATCCTCCAATCCAACTGCACGCACTCCCCGCTCGGGATATCGAAATGCGCCTTTCTATCACTTGCAATTCTCACTTCACATTAAGTCTATCTATGTATGCGATTTCCGAGGTGCTGCATCAACTCATATATTTTCCGTAGAGATGAAAGATGGTTCCAAAATTATCGTAATGAATTTAATAGAAGCACATCGAAGTGAAGTAAAAGGATGCTTCTTGAACTAGCTTCCACATTGACCAGATCGAGAGTAGCGCTAATGTGGCGCATCTATTCTATAAGAAAGAGAATGTTTTGATGAACGTTTGAACATCAAATTCATTCTTTGTGAAATAAGATGCATTAAATTGTTCCCATTGGGGCTCACTTTATCTCCACTTCGGGTCTCTTCATCTTTCTTCCCCAGCGAGTAACGTAGGTAGGCACGTTATAGAGCAGAAAGAAAACTTTCCTCTCACTATCTTATTTTCTCTAACTTAGCAACTAGAAACAAACAATGAATTAACAACCAAAATAACTTCACGGGCAAAGAATCCAAATGCCGGCGAAGATTTGCAGCCGATCGGGCAACTGGTTCTTCCTCGGATAGAGCTGGGCCAGGTTTGCCCTCTTGAACTTCTTCTTCCATCCTAACGCAGGAATTTCATCAGTAGGTAGAAGCTGTGTTTTTTTCTCGATCGGAATACCGACAAATTACGTATACAAAGAGAAAAGATCACGATCTTTAGGCAAATTTGAATCAATCATCGCTCCAGTGAGTAACGTATTTTTTTGACTTGTAATAATAGCCTTGTCCAGTAGCGAAGTACTAACTTCTTTACTTTGCTTGCCCTGTCCGCCTTTCAGGAAGCCCACTTGGCGATGAACAAGACTTTGAAGGTCGAGTAAACTATTCGAAGGATCGCAATAAGCCAGGAGGATCAGTCCAAGATATGTTAATCTTTAATGATGTTATTCAGCATTTAGATCTGGTTGATGTTCCTTTTGCTGGCAGGAGGTTCACTTGGAGTAATATGCAGCAAGACCGACCCTCTTTTGGAAAAGCTGGACTGGGTGTTCACCTCTGCTTCCTGGGCTGATTGTTTCCCAGACACCAAGGTTATTCCCCTAGCTAAGCCAATTTCGGATCACATACCCTACAAAGTGGTAATGAATACTTCGATTCCAAAAGCATCTCTGTTCAGATTTTAGAATTTTTGGGTAGACTTGCCTGGATTCTTTGAAGTGGTGGATTTGCACTGGCACAACAATCCTTTCTTCTCTAATATGGCTAAAACAATCTCAGTCAAATTCAAACAACTCAGGAAAGGATTGAAAGCGTGGAGTCGTGAAATATCAAAGCTCAGTAAGCTTATCAACAATTGTAACTGGGTTCTGGCTATGATAGATGGTTTGGAGGACCAGAGAGGGCTGGATAGAGCGGAGAAGAATTTTAGAAAGCTTGTTCAGAAACATTTGCGTGGTCTTCTTGAAGCCAAACGGGTCTACTGGAAACAGCGTGCCTGTATCAGATGGGAAAAATTTGGGGATGAAAATTCCAAGTTCTTTCAGGCAGTAGCCTCTTTTGCTTTCCGAAGAAACCATATTGCTCAGCTGATACTGGATGATGGCACTTATGCAACAGATCATGAGACAAAAGCGGGTCTTCTATGGTCTTCTTTCAAAGACAGACTGGGTGTTTCTGAATATATGGTGAATCTGTTCAATCTTGCTGAGTTGATTGAAGCTGTAGACTTGCCTCTGATGGATGGTATGTTTACAAAGGAGGAAATTGATGCTGCTATCAGAGATATGCCTTCAGACCATGCTCCAGGCCCTGATGGTTTTAACGGTATGTTCATCAAAAGGTGCTGGAATTTAATTACTGAGGATTTCTACAGGCTTTGTGAATCATTTGCAAATGGAGAAGTTGACCTCAAGTGTATCAATGGCTCTTTCATTACACTTGTTCCCAAAAATGATAACCCCCAGTCTGTTAATGACTTTCGGCCAATTTCTCTCCTGAACTACTCAGTCAAACTGCTGACAAAGCTGTTAGCTAATCGGCTACAAAGAGTCATCCTTTCAGTGGTTCATGAGAACCAGTATGGGTTCATAAAGGGCAGAACTATCCAAGACTGTCTAGCATGGGCTTTCCAGTTTTTGCATATATGTCATCAGTCAAGAAGAGAAATTGTAATCCTCAAGCTGGACTTTGAGAAGGCCTTTGATAAGGTTGAGCACCATGTCATCTTGGATATGTTCAGACACAAAGGCTTCAGTCCTAAATGGGTAAGCTGGATTGAATCAATTCTCTCCTCGGGATCCTCCCAAGTATTGCTTAACGGTGTTCCAGGTAGGCCTTTTGTCTGCAAGAGAGGAGTCAGGCAGGGTGATCCATTATCACCCCTGCTTTTTGTATTGGCTGCTGACCTTCTGCAATCTGTGATCAACAAAGAAGCTGAAACATCCTCTTGGTGACTCCTTTGGAGGGGACTATCCAGTGGTCCAATATGCTGATGATACTTTAATTGTCATGCCAGCTGATGAAGTCCAGCTCCTTCATCTCAAATATCTGTTAGGCTTGTTTGCTGCTTCCACGGGACTAAAGGTGAACTTCCAGAAATCATTTATTGTTCCCATTAATGTGGACCATGATAAAGCATTGCAACTTGCAAGTTGCCTAGGTTGCCAAGTTGGATCCATGCCCTTCACATATCAGGGACTGCCCCTAGGAACAACAAGACCAGGTGTTGAGGAGTTTGTGCCCCTTCTCAATCGTATTGAGAGAAGAATGATGGGAATAAGTTCTCTTCTGACTTATGCAGGCCGTCTTATTATGGTTAACTCAGTTCTTTCAGCTCTGCCCACATTCACTTTTGAACAGAGTGAAACTGCGAAAGAAGCCCACAAACCCCTTCTTCTTTCCCCACCGGCTACCCATACCCATAGGTAGTGGTGGGCCTCGATATCTCTATTTGCTTCGATAGATACCTACACTACTAAACAAAAGAGCTTTACAAGCGGCATTGCCCTTCTTCACTCACGCGATATTGCTGGCCACACCAACCCTTTCGCCCATTGTCCAAGATTCCCCACTGCTGCCCTCTCCTAAGCTGACTTTCGGCTGTGACCCGCCCCACCGTCCGTATATAAAAGGAAGATTCCCGTTGGTGGAATTGAATTCCAGGCCAGGCTTCCTTCTTTTGATTCGGCTCAGCCTTTCGGGGCATAAGCAGTCTTCCCAGTTAAGGGCAGCCTCCGTTAGATATCAGAAAACGAATGAGATCAGAAAGGCCATCATTGAGGCAAACAATGCAATAGCTTCGGTGAGAGCAAAGCCCAAAATGGCATAACCAAATGATTGTTTAGCCAATGAAGGATTTCGCGCCACGGAATGAATCGAAGAACTGAGGACGTTTCCAATACCAACAGCAGCTCCGGCTAAAGCAATTGTAGCAGCTCCGGCACCTATTGATTTAGCTCCTTCTAACATGTCGAGTCCCGACATGACATTGTTTCGCGCTTTTCTTTCGCTACTCTCCCTTGAAAACTATTTTGTGTATCTTCTGTTGCCAGGAAAGAAAGACTGGGTCAGTCCGGCACGTCACGCTTGCTAATATGGCCCGACTGGCCCTATACAGAAATAGTTTAATCGATTGACCTACCAGGGTTTCTTTCTCATTCATTTGATTCCTGCGCCGCGATCCATGGTTGAATAAAATAATAAGACACAAACTAGATACGGAATAGCTACGTTTCTTTCTATATGATAATATGCGCCGAGGGGGGGATTTGTTTCAAATAGAAGTCAAGTAAACAGATTCAAGTTAGCCCAGTTTGGTTCCTTGGAAAAGCAGTTCAAAGCAAAGGGTTGACGGGTGGTGGAGTCCCAGGTTTAGTATATAGCCCCTGTCTTCCAATCCGTAAACGGTGGATTGACTTGCTCTTTATCAAATCACATTAAAAAGGGGGTTTTGTCGTTCAATGCTTTGATCCGCGCACCTTATTTCTGATTGAACCACTTCCTCGAAAGGACATCGTATCGGTGCCTGAATATGGGCTAGCGGTACACCAACCTCCCCACCAACTGCTACGCCCCGCGGGGCTTCTTCCTAGCGCTATTGAAATGATATTCCTATTATTGGTCCTAGCAATATCCCTGGACCAGGGCACGGCACCTATCCAACTATGTCTTGTTTCGGTTTCGGATCCGGGTAGTAGAGTCCTAGGCATCGGCAAAGCCAACAAGGTACGGGATTCGGCTCAACAGCTACTTCCTTGCTTAAATCGAATTTCAAAGTGAGAAAGGAATACGCCCTTTAGGCTTAGAAGGGATTAACTCCCGAGCGCATCTTCCTTACTATTGATAGGCAAGAACCTTCCTCGCCACGAGATAGCAAACAAACTACCTTCCTCGCAAACCTAAAGGATTCTCCTGGACTCGGTGATTAGATGAAAGGGTGAGTCAGGCCGAAGGAAGTACCCAAAGCAAAGCATAAAGACTTTGAACTAGCTCTGGCGGAATGAGTCTGGTCAAGCTAGTCGACTAAATGGAACATCCCGGCAAGAGGCCTACTCACGCATGTGGCCAAATAGTTATAGCTGAAAGAATGGAGAATTAGATCTTAAGCTGCTCCGCCTGCGGCCTCTCTCTTATTTTACTTCAGTAGCTAAGCTTGAAACTTTCTTTGGATTACCAGGCGCGGAGCGGTTCGAATCCAGAGGTGGCGGATCTTATCAACGGATACCCACAAAGGAATAGTTACTGGAACCAAGCGCTTCATATGCTTGAATATCATTTCTGCTTGATAGAGGTGCGCAGCAACCGAATAAGCTACTTCATTCCTAGGCGATAGCTTTCGTCCCGGCGGGAGGGACGAGTACCAGACTTTCAACGAGAAGGTAGTTGCCGAGGATAGAGATAACGAGAAGGTGCTTGCGTCCCTGAGGGGGAATGATATTTTTCGAGCGAGGAGGTGCCCCTAATATTGAGGCTTAAGCCGGTAGCCCTTAAATAAAATATGCAGCAAGTAGTGATGATCCACGAGTGTAGTAAATATAGTTGAGGTCGTAAGCACTTTGACATTTCACAAGCCTATATATATTCTTTTCTTGACTAGGAATTAAATCCGGTCTGAAGTAAGATACTACTTTGCTTGGAGTGGTTAGTCTACTCATTTTCAATTGGATGGGCTTTCATGATGAGAATCTATCAATTTCGTTCGCGACGCTCCGCGCCTTCTCTCGCAGATGGACCCTAAGGAACAGCTAATTATGCTTACATGGAAATCGACTAGTTCTTGCTGGTTTGGAACCAAGTTAAGGCCGAAGGATGCGCTCGCACAAGTCAGTCGTTTTAGCTATTCGCACGCGCCTGCGGCCTCGATAAGCTATAACTTCAGAGTAGACCTGGCGAAGGAAGCTGGCTAGCCTAAAGTAAAGGTGTGTCTGTCATTGAGTTCACAATAAGTAGTAAAGTTAGTAAAGTTTTTTAATGAGGAAAAGATAACCTATTGCAACGAGAACCTATTGCTTCACTCTTCCGATCTCGCTTGTACAAGAAAGAAAGCTACTTTTTACTTTATCCACGCCAACCTAGATGTCAATTCTTTCTTCTCTTACGCAATTTCGACTTCTTGACTTTCGAGTCTTTGACTGAACCGGGAGAGCTACTACCTACATGACCCTTTGAACAGAACAGACTCGCCCAGAATCATTCTTATATTTCTCATTCTCCTCGCATGTCTTATCCCAACGAACGAAGCGAAGCGCAGTGAAGTCAAAGAGTTCCTAAGGAGCTAACGAACAAGCGGCGGGGCGGCGGAATAGACAGAAAGCGCAGGGATCTTAGAGAAGACAGTGAGTGTGATCAGTTCAAGAAAGTGCTTTTTTCATAGGATATAGCCAGCCGTGCCCTGGCAAGTCTCTGTGCCCTTTACCAGGGGTTTTGTTGTCTAGTGCCAGTGCCCTTAGATCAAGTTCCATTCCAGCGATTGGACCCTCTCAACCATCCCGTGGGAATTGGTGCCTTCCAGCGATGGTACAATCTTGGGATAAAGCCTTTTTATTTGAAGTCAGCTCCTTGGCCAGCTTTCGTAGCAGTAGTGTAATTTCCCCCTCCAGACAGTAGCTCTTCCATCCCCCCTGGGAGTTCTTTTACAGTTCCCAGCTATCAAATTGCAGTCCTCGCAACTCCAATTGCGGAAGAAAGGGATAGAGCAAATGAGCCAGTCAGTCTCTTTTATTTTACAGTGGATAATCTTTTTTTCGTATTAGTCCTACGCTTACTAAGAAGCCTAACTATCTGACAGGGCTATGAAGAATCACCAAAGCAAAAAGAATATCATGTCAGTGTGCAAGGAAGATGGCACAAGAGTAGAGAATCCTACCGGGAAGAAAGACTGGGGTTTTTTCATAGCCTACTTAGTGAAGTGCTATCCAACACGCCTCTAAATCAGGAGGTGCTTAGGTCAATTATATCGATCCTCGAAGACTAACCCCTGACCAGTGCAAAATGATCTATTGAGAGGGGTTACTGAGGGTGAAATAAAGGATGTTCTCTTCTCTCTGAAGGATAACAAGGCACCAGGCCCGGATGGATATAATGCTCTATTCTTTAAGAAGGCAAGGCGTGGGGTATTGTTGGGAACGATGTGGTGAGGGCTATTAAGTCTTTCTTTGCTTCAGGATGCTTGCTGAGGGAGGTCAATGCAACCGCAATCGCACGGATACCAAAGGTACCAAACCCTACCAAATTAAAAGACTATAGGCCTATATCTTGTTGCAATACCATTTCAAAATTAATTTCCAAGATCATTGCCAATAGGATCAAGCCAGCCCTGCTCCTTGAATTGAATTGAAACTTACATAAGTTAATTCAATGAAATGCAATGTTAGAATATGGCTTAGCTGCTTCATCAGGAGAGGTACTACTAGTTACGAGACTGAACTGGAAGGGGAGGAGCGAAGCGTAGCAGCTTTACTCGCTTCCAAAGCTAACTAGTAAACTAGCTTCTTCTCCTTCCTAACCTAAAAAGAGTGAAAAAGAAAGGCAATGAAATTAAAGAAGAAAGGCGATGAATATCATGTGCCTGTGCCGATTCATCCCTATTACCAGTACCAGCTGACTCACTTTCTTTTTCTTCTTCTAAAAAAAATAGGAAAAAGAAAGATAATGGAAGAGACAGAGGTGGAGGTTATAAGTTAGGGTTCGGTAAGGGGTGATTATGCCTTTGCTTGTGTGCCCACGGGCTTTCCTAGTGCAACCACCTTCTCTATTGAAAACAAGAGCATAGAAGTAGCTGACTTGCGATTCCTACTCCCGTATGTTCTTTTTTTTCCAATTATGAGAAGGTCAATTATATCGAGCCTGGCTCAAACCCACCCGTTAGAGCAGCGAGCTGGTTACTGCTTGAAGTCGAAGGCGGGAAAGGGGTAATGAATAGGGGATTGGACGGGCTTGCTTTAACCGAAGAGGGGAGTGACAAAGGCTTAAGTCGAACAAGCAGTTAACCACTAGAACGAAGGGCTTACACGAGACCTAGTAGACGGAACGAAGGTACAATACCAACGGGAGAGGAACGACAGGGTACGTAGGTAACGGGACAGAGGTGGGACAGAGACTACAACGAGTTCGGCTTGCTAGCTAGCTTAAAGGGGCCTAGCTGACCGGGGAGCTGACCGAAGAGAGAAGGTTGCCATAGGAGATTATATTCTGTTGTGCCTCTTCCGATGAAAGATAAGAGAAGGTTCCAATTGCTGTGGCTCTTGCTTTCGAAGGGACAAAAGGAGTAACCCTTCGATTGGGATTGGCTTGTTGGCCGGCTTTCCTATTTATCATACGAGACGAGGCTCGGACAGTGACTAGAGACGAGCAAGGTAGGTTCATTCAGAAAGAGAGGACGAGTAAGTAAAGGTCAATTTAATCTTTCCTCTCCTTGACGTCGAGACTCACTTTGCTCTCCTGTTGTTCTTGTTTTTACTACTTTCCATAGTGGTTCGCGTACGTATAAACCAACCCCTGGCGAAACCGGCTCGTAGGCTTGACTATTACTGATGGAAGGCGGGCTATTATGCCTATTCAACTTATGCCTTATGCCTCTTTGCTTTCCTTATTACTTATCGCACGTGCCGCCCTGTCTCAACGTCACTTCCCAAACCAAAACCGCCTTTACCAGATCTATGAAAGGTGAAACGTTGAAGGTCCACAACAGATAACATAAATGAACAAGTTTATTTTGTATTCGAGCTGCTGAGGGCCGTAGCTCGTATGAAAACATTACTTCATTGTTCTATAAGGCGTTGCACTAAGCACATACTCGGATAGGGTCGCGAAGTGCAAAGATCCGGTCTTTGACAACCGTCGTAAGGACAACAAAACCTATACTTATGTGTGTTCGACACTATAACTTATAGGCGGGACCAGTTGTAGTATGATCGCCGAGTGGCGTTCTGCTCGATTAGGCGAATGCGAGTGAGGTTCGATGTAATTGACCCAACAAACTTTTCGAAGCGAAGTTCAGTCATAGAAGAAGTAATGTAAGCTTAGCCTTTAGCTTGGCACTCGCTTTTTGATTCCTGCTCTTACTGAAGAAATGTTTTAGTAACCTTGTCCTATCCCTGGCTTTCTGTTTTGACTCTATGTCTTAGGCTTCTTTTCTTATTGCTTTTATGAGTATCCAAAAATGCCTCCTTGAAGCAAGTCTTCCCCGGCTGTCAAGTTAGTGAGTGCACTACTAGGAGTAGGAATTTGAATAACTGCTTTTTTACTGGGCTCTTTCGTAATACACTGAATGTGTACCCGCTGCTCTCGTATCAGCTGTTCACGTACCAGTTCTAGTCTTAGAAGTTCCAGTAAGAGCTGTTGGTGTCAGGTTTGAGGGAAAGAAAGCAGAGGACAAGATAAATAGTATAATAAGGCTCCTTTCTTCCCTCTCTTTGACTTCACTTCGCTTCGTTCGTACCTCTCACTTAAGATAGAAAAAAAGTGAGCAGCTATAGCTTCACTTCAAGACTCGAGCGCAAACGCCTTTATTTACCCAAATACCAATTAATTGCACGCACTATCAGATCTATCTTCATAGGGAATGAGTCGAGTATGGCATTCGGGTTCAGGTTCCTCGAGAGCAATGAAACTTATCGACCCAACGAACTTTTCGAAGCGAAGTTCAGTCATAAGTATTGGCGAAATCTGCCTTCGTGCGAACTTCTTCTATCATTACCAGAGCTAGGGTCGATGTAATTGAGAAGAAGCAACCTCCCAACCATGGAGAATATGGAGCAAGCCGGAAGCGGCCATGGGAATCCAAGATCGTCATTCCCATCTGGGGAACTTACGGTGATAAAGAAAGGAATGAAGGAGATGATGAAGAATATGCTAACATTTCAAAAAGAAATGCTTGCTAACGTCCAAGCAGCCCTTCCTCGTCAAGCCTACAGGCACCCGTAGCAGGTTTATTAAGCTTGCTCCTTCGCGATTCTTCTGGAGCTTGAGGAGTACTCGTTTTTAAGTAGGCGGTCGAGTGGAACAAAGGTTTTGAAAGGGGCAAGGGCGAATAAGGCACGAGTGCGTTTCCGATGGGAGTTGCTAAGCTTAAAAAAAGGTCAATGTAATCTTTAGAAGCGAAGTGAAGTCACCTAAGGGAAGGGAAAGCCCAGATATCGAATCTGAATTGAGCACTCGTACTTGTCTACCTTTCTCCGAGAGACTAAGAAGATTCACTGATTGCGTCTGCTAGAGATGCTTTACCTAACAATGACTTTCAAGTGGGGAGTGAATGAAAGTCGATATAGAAATCCTAGGCTCGATGTAATTGACCTTCAGGCCGTAATCACCCGATTGAAGAGGGAGGAGGAGCCGATGAAATTCTTTCGGAGTTCTTCCCCGCTGACGTCTAAGCTCTCAAGGACTCGGATTAGTCAACAGGAATTCAATCTAAGATAGCTGGTAGCTCGAGCGAGGAGCGGAACCTAGCCCTATAGCTATATAATATTCTATTTCCTCTGCTTTTCATAGTTAGAATAAAACAAACTCATTGCTCATTCATTCAGAGCTCTTGTCGGTAAAGTAGATCGAGAGAGAGAATTGGCTTCTCCAGAATCTGCTTCCGTCAGACTATCTCAACAAGGGGGGAGTTCACACCGGGACTTTCTTGCACTATGTGGAACGGATTCTTATCGGATTGGACACCCCTATAGCTAAAGGAACGTACAGCGAGCCGTAGCGGGAGTGAGGCCAATTTGCCTTAAAAGAAGATCACTAGTAGAAACCCACAACCACGGCCAGAGAATAGGCGAATAGGGGCGAAAGCTGCTCGACTTACAAGGTACAAACGAAGCGAAGCGAAGTTCAGTCAAGATTTGGTGCAATAGACACCGGATTCAGTGAATTCATCCATCGAAGAGGAATAGGTCAATTGAAAATCCGCTACTCCGCTATCTAAGCATGAGAGTTTAAACATCTCCGGTCGGCCTATCGTCTTCATTAATGCCTAGTTTAGGAATAGAGAAGCATAAGAGCAGACGATGTCGCGATGCGGCAAATCAACTGCATCAACCCACATTTCAGGAATAAATAACAGAACATCAGACGATACACCGATTCGACAAATAAGCTCATTAGCTCCAACGCTCATGAATATGTCTCCCCTCTTTTACCATTCCTAAAGTCAGGGAGATCCGCGAGAGAGAAACCATTATCAATATATATATAAAGCAAAACACCCATAGATTCAAATAGTATCGGATTCATGGTAGTCTCGTTTTTCCTTGGCTTCCAAAAGACCCGTGCATTCAAACTCTCCTCTACTACTGAAGGTAGGAACGGAGGAAGGGAGGCACGAGACCATAAGTATTGGAAGGTTTGAAGCAAGGACGCTAGCTGCAAAGGCAGTCAAGGAGTATGAATACCATCCCCCGCATTGCCCTTCTTCACTCACGCAATACCTAGACAGAGCTTATGAGTCCCATGGCAGTTGCTTGCTTTCTTTTCAGGAAACTCTCAATTGATTAAGAGAATCAAAGTTCAGAGAAGGTTGGAAAAAGGGTATTCTAGAACGCCCGGTTCACCAGGTTCTACCACTGCAGTGCCCAATCATAGTCAAAAGAAGAGTTTGATCCTGGCTCAGAAGGAACGCTAGCTATATGCTTAACACATGCAAGTCGAACGTTGTTTTCGAGGAGCGGATTGAAATTCCACTTTTTGCAGCTATATAAAACGCAACTTTTTCAATTTCCATTCTCGTCGTAGAGTGAAAAGTGACTTGCCAACTTTTCCAGCTATATGAGATGCAACTTTCGCAATTTCTCAGATCCAACGAACGAAGCGAAGTTCAGTTAAAGACCATACAAACGAAGCGAAGCGAAGTTCAGTCCCTGGAAAGGTGTAATTGAGTTTAATAGTCGCGAAGAAGAGGTGACCAACGGGAACTGTTAGTAAGGCGAATGGGATGGAAGTTTCTAGCTTGAAAACATAGCCATATTTGCAGGGCTGAATGAACACTATTCAACGTCTCAATGAGGGGGGGCTTTTTTCCTCAATGAAGAACGGAATTTTAGTCAATGATTCTTTCCTACTCAAATAAATTCTAGTCAATTCAATCCGAGAAGAGCTGATAAGTGAATGAAGGAAGTTCAGGTGGAGAAGTTCAGTGATGTTTGTTCCCATGCATGGACAACTAGTCCAAAGAGGTTTCTTTATAGGTGGTTTCGTCAAAGGTTTACGAATGTAGCTTCACCTAACCTTATAGGATCAGTAGTAGTTCCTTCCTAGCCCAGACATCGTGATGGCATCACCCAGCCTAAAGGTTGAGACTCTATCTATCAAATCCTTTCAGTCGATCGTACTTTGCCATCCTTCTATCAAGGTAAGTCAGACATTACCAGGGTCGGTTAGTCTGACTCAGGAATGGTAACCTGGCATCTGACAAAAGCTCTCTTGAACCTCATAATGAACTGCTCAGCTCTTTCTCCGCCTGAATTTGGTCGTCCTGCTATTCAGTAAGGTGCAGTCGTCCCCAAGCCAAGTCAAGCTTTCCAGCAGTCAAGCCAGATGCAGATTGAATAGCAGCTCCTATTGAGTTGCCTTGCCTCCCCCTAATTTGACTTCACTTCGCTTCGAAAAGTTTGTGCCTGTGTGCTTGCCTTCCCTTCCTTCTACTGCCTTCATACTAGCTTGCTGATCCGTGCT